TTTAGCCATGTTGTTATGCCGCTCGGTATATTCCTTCCCTGCAAGCAATGCGCAACCATATGTAATGTGATCTATTGTCTCGGATGCAGCATTACACTTCCTACACTTATCGCTCTCGATCTTCTCCTTCAGTATATATCTCTTGTAATTCCTGGTACTGATCACTTGGTCTTGTATTGCGAGAACAAATCCTTCCGTTTCTGGATACAGCTGCCCTTTCGATAACCACAAGAAAGACTTTCCTTCACTAACATGAGCCTGCACAACTGAATGATAAAAGCGTCCATGTAGCGGCTTGGAGGCCCATGCCTCCAACTGGCCAGCAACTGGGTCTGAGGGTTGTTCTTCATTCAGATCGTGACAAGCGAGGCGCAAAGGCGTGTAGGATTTATCTATGGCATTTACTGCAGCGTGCAAAGTGCTGTCGTTTCTACTGAGGAAGTAATTTCGCAGGTTACGGACTTGGCTGTGGCAGACCTCCTTCACATCAAGGATACCTCTTCCCCCCTGTTTGCGGGGGATGTGTATTCTCTCCTTCGCGGCTCTTGGGTGATGCTTATTCCACTTGGTCATCAAGGTTCTGACTTTCCTATTAAGCCCCTCAAGCTCCGTGTCAGACCATGGGACAACGCCAAATGAGTACGCTAACGCAGGAATGGCGAAGGTGTTGATTGCCTTGGTTGTATGTTTTGAGTTTAGAGAGGTCTTAAGTATCGCACTCAGCCGATCAACGAAGGTGTTAACCAGGTGCTCTTTGACTCTCACCTTCTGGATGGAAGAGTTCTGCCACATTCCAAGGTATTTATAAGCATCCTCCATTGTCAAGCTGTTGATGACGTCACCAGAATTGGTCACAAAACCATCCTCCCGCACTATAACGCCGTTTTCTATATGGAGCGTCGCGCATTTAGGTACTCCAAGCATCATGCCAATATCATCACTGACCTCTTCAATCACCTTGAAAAGTTGATGCAACTGGTCTCTTTGGGATGCATAGATCTTAATATCATCCAGGTAGGCTAGGTGGTTGATGACGTGGAGTACTTGTCTGTTCCGACGTAGAGGGAACCCTACCTTCATCTCTCGAATGCAATTTGAGAGGGGATTGAGGCCTAAACAGAACCACAATGCACTAAGACTGTCACCTTGAAAAATATACCTCGCAGGATGTGGATGACCTCAGTTTCCAATTCACTCGCCGATCCTTGTATTATGATTCTGGTGCGCCAAGATGCCAAAATGCTCTTCAGGAAATGAACAATGACAGGATGGACTCGGTAGATATTTAAAACGTGAATTAGCCAGCTGTGCGGCATTGAATCAAAAGCTTTTTTGTAGTCGATGTAACCCGCATGTAAGTTACGACGTTCCTTTACAGCCTGTTTGAGCACAACCGAATCAATTATTAACAGCTCTTTGTACCCGAAGCTTCCCTTGCGACACCCTTTCTGCTCTTCACACAAAATTTTCCACTTAGCTACATGTCTCCCAATTAATCGGGTTACAGTGGATGTGATGACTTTATAGAGCGTGGAGAGACATGTAATCGGTCTATACTCAGATGGGTCCTTCAAATCGCCTCCTTTATGTTTCGCAAACGTCACTCCTTCAGTCAGAAATATCGGCATTTTGTCAGGATGAGTAATAATATCTTGAATGCTTCTTGAAAGCTGCGTATGCACACATGTTAACTTTTTCAGCCAGAAATTGTGAACTTTGTCTGGTCCGGGAGCCTTCCAGTTATGAATATGCAAAGTTGCTCTCCGCACATCTTTCTTAGTGATTTCAACCTCACCTTCATGTGTAATGTGGGCATGACGCACTGTTTCCTGCTCAATCCAAGGAGCTGTGCTATTATGCTCCTTGGCCTCTGACCAGATGGATCGCCAAAATCGCGCTACGTCATCTTTCGATGGGATTTCTTCGGGAGCATTTCCCACATCCGCGGCGTTTCCCATCCTTCGATAGAAGGCTCTCTCATTACGCTGAAACAGAGCATTATCTAAATGGCGCTGGTATGATTTTTTATATCTTCTGAGTCGGGCAGCTTGAACTTTTAACTTCTGCTTCAGTGTATCAAGATGGGTTAAAAGGTTTTCCTCATTCATATGGGCCATCTTCGCCCTTAACCTCTTTGAGGTATTCCCCTTGACACACTGGGTGACTCTCCCAATCTCCTGCCTTAGGTTGGCCACTTTCCTTTCAATCCTAAGTTGCCATCTTGGTGCATTCAGTTTGATTTCCCTACGCCCATGATTTGTGGGGCCTTTGACGGCTTGTGTTATCGCCTGAGCTGCACAATAGATGATGCAATGAACTTCCTCTAACGTTGATTCTTCACGAATGTGTGCTGGTATAATTCGGTTCATCCTCTCAATACACGCGAACAACTTAGGAGTGTAAGGAAGTTTTGGCAGTGATTGTCTAAGATTTGGACTGACTCCTTGCCATTTGATCATTTCAGCAATAAATGCAACCTCTAGCGTATCAGCTTTGATAA